CTTTTTTTTTTTTTTTATCTTGCTGGAGTAATTTTCTCAACTGTTACTTTTATATTTCCAATTTCTACAATACATCGAAACTCGCACAACAGTAACGGAGCCCAGCACCACAACTGCCAAAGCCACTACAACCAGCACCACTACAACTACAACCACACCTACCACAACTACAACCACACCTAATACAACAACAACCGCCAACCTTAATACAATAACAACAGCCAACCTTAATACAACAGCAACCACCACAACAGCAACAACAACAACAACCACCACCACCACAACAACTACCGCCAGCCCTACTACAACAACAAAAGCAACAACAACAACAACAACAACAACTCCAACTACGACAACCACCACCACAACAACTACCGCCAGCCCTACTACAACAACAAAAGCAACAACAACAACAACAACTCCAACTACGACAACCACCACCACAACAACAACCACCACCACTACAACAGCAGCACCAGCACGTCCTCTGCCAACTGTAGCCATACAGATTGTCATTATAGAGGTTTTTACTCAAGCACTGAAGGACCCGAAAACTACGGAATTTAAAATCCTAGCCACAAAAGTGGAGACTATGGTATGTTTCAAATGGCAGAACAATACAGTGATACATATGTAGAAGCATTTGCAAAGATACACATACAAATTTAATGATTTTTTTATTTTATTTTAAATAACAGTAAAAATCTAAAGGAAAATTCTAAACTCAGTTTTGCACTTGCCTGAAAGTTTTGGGAGTGACAAAATATGATATTTTTTTTACCAATCTTGTTCAATTGTATAGTACTCTTTAAAAAAAACAAAAAACAAAAAACAAACAAACAACAAAACATGATCTACTTCAATAAAAATGGAATTGTTTCATAAAATATTAGGAAACATTCCTAAAACTGACTTACTGCTTTCACAGTTTGATGAAGTCTATAAAAAAAAGTTTGGGCCTCGTTTCATCAGGACCATCGTGATTGCATTCATGTAAGTAAAAAGTTTGATTCAATACTTTAAATGATTACTTTATTAATTTACACTCCATCATGCTTTAAATGTCAGACAGTTTGTGTAATTTTTCATGACATAAAAACGTCTCGGGTTACTCATGTAACCATGGTTCCCCGAGAGGGAACGAAATGCTGCGCCCCCTATGGGGCACATTGGGGAATGCAGCCTGCATGACCGGTGTCTGAAGCACGTGTAAAACAATGCCAATCTATTGGCCCACCTGGCCCATGACGTCATAGGCGGAATGCACAGAAGTATAAAAGGGCACCTGCTGAATACATCATCCACTGTCTGAAGGAGACGTAGACAGGCAGGCCAAAGGCATGACAAGGGGCGCAGCGTCTCGTTCCCTCTCGGAGAACCGTTCCCCTTTTAGGGAACTCAACGCTGCGCCCCCTAGGGGGCACATTGGGGAACGAAATCCAACCATGCCGTGCCAAGGTGCATGCCTGTCCACCTGGTGGGAGAGCAACATGGAAGCGACAGACATACACAAAGCCTTTCCTCAGAAAGGGGCCATGCCACTGATGCCACGGGCCGCTCACGCCACTTGGCAGAAACGGGGGAACCCGAATAGATCAAGGGGAACATCCCATTCAAGTTAAGAGCACAGCTATCCTCAGATAGCTATGTTATGTGAGCAGAACTAGCCTGGATACACAAAACCACTGACAAGGCTAACTAGAGAGCCTCTAGAGGATCTCAAGAGATGCTACCTAAATCCCAGGTAAAGAGAGTAGCTGCTGAGATAGCTATGTCCCTAAGGTCTTATGAAGGCTTGTGGACCAGAATAACATAACCAAGATAGCCTTCCTACTATCTACTTACTACCCTAGCAGGGGAGATAGCACTGTCTAGGCAAGGGCTCAAAGAAACCGACCGCTATTTTAAAACCCACGCACAGATATCCTCAAATAGCTAGGTACCTGGGAAGGGCTACAAGAAGGGGGACCGACTGAGACTACCCAGACCACAAAGAGTGGGCTGTCTACTTATGACCCAAAGAGGGGAGACAATATTGTCTAGGTAAGGGCTCAAGAGACCGCTACTTAAAACCCTAAGCAGGGGAGAGATCACTGAGCTAGCACATAGCTATCCTCAGATAGCTAAGCTCTAGGAAAGGGGTCCACTCCATGAGAGGGCTCACCGCAACTGCAGTAGAACACAGCTAGCCTCAGCTAGCTGTATTCAAGTAAGCCCGTCCCACCAAAAAAAATGGCTGGAATATAACCACCTTCAGAAGGCTATATAAAGGAGGTCCCCAATCCGTGTCAGTCCCACAGTAGGTTAGCAAAGCACCATGCTATTGACCAAGATCTCACAAGAGGGAGATCCAGACCATCAGTAAATGATTCGCTAAAGAGCGAACACAAACATCATAGTCTGTGATCAAGCCTGATGTAAGTAGTAGCCATAGCACTAGAGGGCTGGACACAGCTATCCTCGAATAGCAGTTCCCTCAGATAAGGCTGAAGATTGCCCAGGCCACGGAAGTGGGCCATCTATTTAAAACCCAGAAGGGGAGACAGCACAGTCCATGTAAGGGGCTCACGGAGACCACAATCTAAAAACCCTTAAAGGGAAGCGGTCTCCGCACTGGAGCACAGCTATCCTCGAATAGCAGATTCCTAAATAAAGGCTTCAGCACTTACTCGAGAACTTGTGCCAAAGGGAACCCAACCTAGTTATTAGAATCTAGGCTAGAACATAGCTGCTCTCAGACCGCCGTATTCCAGAGCAAAAAGGTATTCCCCATAACCACTCTAGGTGCTGAACACCCTGGGAGAGAAAACTCGCAAGCCTCTCACCACAGAATATTTAAATATATTCATGCCCAGCGAGGCTCTCCACACACAATAACATGCATATTAGAGAGGCACGGCCGAGCTGAATATAGCTCCGCCCACGATCTCGCAGGATCAGGGCTGAAACGACTCCGTGCTCACACTTCATCGTCATAACAACCCAACAATATCTGTGGCATCTGACAACCCGATAGAGAGGGAGTGCAGATGCCACAGATCAAAGCGATGACCGCGAGTTGAGATAAACTGTGCCGTGGCAGGAACCGGCCGCGAGACACAAACGCTCTGTTCCATATCCCTCGGGAATAGGAACAAACGCAAGCAGAGCCTAGACATCGTGATTCATCACAATGAGCGTGTAACTCTGAACGTGCGTGCTTCTTCGCCGAGACCAACGTGAAAGCAGAACATGCCCTCGAGTGTTAGAATCCAAACACAGAGGCACACATTTCCTAAGGCGCTGCTCGACTTGAGCGCTATTCACGGGATCCGATAACCCAAAAAGGGCATCTCAACCCCGCGAATCCCGCGATCCAAGTCTTCACTGTGCCTCGGCAACAGCGGAACCCGAACCGTGAGACGCAAATGCTTGTCACTCATCTCTCGAGAAGAGGGACAAACGCAAATGGAGCTTCTCATTGGATAACACTCACAATGAGCGCATTCAGAACCCTCGAGCACTGAACACGCAAGCTCCTGACCAAAACAGATGACAGATAGATCGTGTGCATCCTCAAGTGCCAGAAACCTCTGGAATGGAGGCACACACTCACTGCTCACTTGCCTTGGTCTCTCACACGCACTTCAAACAGATGGCTCCTGAAGACAGCAAAGAGGATGATGTATTCAGCAGGTGCCCTTTTATACTTCCGGGCATCCCGCCTATGACGTCATGGGCCAGATGGGCCAATCGATTGGTGTTGTTTCACACGTGCTTCAGACACCGGTCATGCAGGCTGCATTCCCCTAGAGGGCGCAGCGTTGAGTTCCCCAGAAGGGGAACTTGAATTTATGCATTTGACTATACTCACTACTGTCAACAGCACAAAATATGGTAAGATTTTGTCTCCTTTATACAAGTTAGCCATTTACAGTTATAAGTTAAGTTGCATTTTGACATTTGCATGATGCAGTTTTTTTTTTTTTTTATCTCTTTTCTCTCATCTCTGCACCACAACCCATCAAATATACGGATGTAATTATAAGCTGTAAAACATACCTTTTTCTCTAGTGGTGTTTCCAGAACCCGGGAGGAATTAAATGTACAGGCGGAGGTTGAGTTGGTGTTCAGTGAAGCGTCCACTGAACCGATCCCCAGCAACACTGACATTGTGCAGACTCTAAAAGAAGCAGCTGCTAATTCAACTGCAGGCTTCAACCTCACACTTGATGCCACCGCTATTACTGTCATTAGTAAGCTCATTTAGATATGCCAGATTTCTGAGATCTTACTATGTTAACTTGACTAGAAAAGTTCTACGCAATCTCTGCTCTGTTATCTTTAAAATCAATTCCTTTTTTGTAGAATCAGTAAAGATCATTCCGCTGACAATCCTCACCAACGGAACCTTTGTGGCTGCTCTTTCAAATAAAAGTTCTATTGAATTTCAGAACAGGGCTTCGATGATAAAAGCAGGGGTGAGTGTGACGTGTCTACTTATGAATTTTGGGTAAAATGCTTTTACAAAAGAAAGCCAATTTTGTTGAACAACTCTTGTTTTGCAGCTCGAACCTTTTTTCCTCGCTGATTACCCTAAATCATTCAGCACCATATCCGTAACAGACTTCAGGTATGAATATGCTGGTGCATTCTTGAAAATAGCTACTGATTCAACATAACACTCAGTTTTCATTGATGAATCTTGATTCCAAACTCTCTCCAGTGATGCCAGTGTAAAATTACGGAGCGTGCCCACAATCCGAAACTCCATGGATCTTGTATTTGGAGCGGACGCCGTTCTACCTAATAGCACCCAGATAGTGAACACTGTAGTTCGAGCAACTAGAAACAACACGTTACCCTTCCAGATCTTCACTTCTTCAATCATAATAAATGGAACCGGTGAGTGATGCACTTTAATCTTGCACTGCAGTGAAACATTGTGCACAGATGAGTATTTTTTACTTTGATGAGTACTTTGAGTATTTTTTTTTTTTACTGGAATTGTACAACCCTGTTATATCAATGTAGGGTAGAGTACAGTTGTAACTTGTGTTTTGCTGTCCTATACAATTAGAAAGTTTTGCACAATTTGTGATAATGAAAAAAATCAGTTCCATTTTTGTAGAATCACTGCAGAAAATTCCAGTGACAATCCAGACTAATGTAACTTTTTTCAAATACACGTTTTGTTGAATTTCAGAGCAGGGCATCAGTGATAAAAACCGATATATTAGCACACTAGAATGCCCTAAAAAAACATTAATTTGCAGACCCTAAGTTTTGGTGTGCATTGTGAACAATTTTACTCATTCTGCCCAGTACCTGCTTATAATGCAGGAAATTCAAAAATGTTCTCAATTTCTCGCATTGCAACCATGCACTTTTTTGGTTCCACTTTTGACATTCTACTAACTACAAGTAACTTTGCAACTACATGTCAACTAACCATCATTAATCTGCAACTACATGTCAGCTAACTCGGATTAGTATACTGTTTTGTTAGGGTTAGTAGAGTAAGTTGGGTTGCAAAAGGTGGAATATCCCCAGTAAATTTATGGAAACTTTCCTGGATTTTTAGGAAAATTTTAAGTTTCCGAAAATTTACTGGAAATTGCTATTGACATGTAGTTGCAAAGTTGAACAAAACTGACATGTATTCGACTAACGACTGTTAGTTGACAAGTAGAATGCCTATAGTGGAATGAAGTGTAACCCTCTTATTGTTTAAATACATACAATTCAAAATTTAATGAAATTTGATATTGAATAATGAAATCAAACTGACTTGCATTATTGTATAGGTTATTGCACAACAAAATCAGACAATCTTGTATTTCACAAACAAATTTCAGAAGATGATAAATCAACAATTGGCAATAACAAGCACAGTTTGTTTTATGATCAGACAGGAATAACAATTATTCACAATAACAGAGGAGTACGAAAAAAGGACTTTATATGATTGAAGGAACGTGGACTACAAGCTTGAAATTTTTCATGCAGAGAGAGAATGTTAATGTTAACGTGCACATGAATTTTAAGAGTTCAAATTTGCAGCGTTGCATCTGTACTCTGTCCGTTATACTACTTGAGCTTTAGACAAAATTCCAAAAGGTCAGTGAATGATCATTTCTGTCTGTTTTCATCTTTTTGTGATGCAGAACATTCATCAGGTGAAGTCAGCAGCAGGATCAGTGTGTTGACCGCTTCAGTTCTGGTTGCTGTGTCGCTTCTGGTTCCACGGTTTAACTGAACGTAACCACTCATGCCAATATAACTGATTCACACAGGTCTGAATCTTGCCTTCAGCTCAAGTGAAGGACTCAAATGAAGCTACTGATGCTACTTAATGAGTAGTAATGAAAGTAATATTTTATATAATCCTATTCTGAACACTTCAAACTAGATCTTAGCCATAATGGATTCCATATCGGTTCTGGATCTGCATATTTTGGTACATTTTCTTCCTTCAGAATCCATCATCATGCGCTTTACTATTAACTCCCAGAACTGTTCCATTTAGTAAGGACATTTTAGAACACACGAATACAGTACACAGGTTTTCAATGTCTAAAGTATGCTGAAATGCTATGCTATTACTGATTTCTCAGAAAAGGGATAAAACAAGCAACAGTTAAAAAAAACCCTCTTTATTTCATAAACCATTTCAACTGATTTTCAGTTTTATTAATATGACGACTTTAAAATATACATATTAAAACAGAACCATAACTACTATCATGTGCTGACAGAGGGAAAAGGTTGATTTAAAATGTTTGATCTCTTTAGACGATTCCACTTTATTATTGAAATATCAAATTCTAACGGTTGTCTCATACACACATACTTGTAGCCCTTTTGAAATGCAGCATAGCTTCTCCGAACGTAAGCCATGCATTGGAAAATGTTAAAGGTCTTTTTTATGCTGGCTGACTCTGAACAGTCTGGAAAAGGTTTTGATGAGCGAAAGGATGAAGTGTTTCAATGCTAATGAAACTTGTAAAACAACTCGAAAGAATGACAAATAGCTACAGGACATGACATCAGTCTAGGGGAGAAACTTGGTCTGAAAATATTGCACATTAACACGAAAACCTGTACAAAAACCACCACAACAACAACAAATTTCATGCACTTGTATCATACCAGTATTTTCTAAATTATTTATTCTAGACAAAAATCTATCTAATATTTCCTAAGTTAATTTAATTCTGAACTCAAAGGGATTGTTGATATTGTTCACACTGGATGTGGTAAACAATATGATGGTTACCAAGAGCACAAGTGAGTATATACAAACACTGTTAGATATCAAATTATATGGATAAATACAAGATATGCTTCAATTCTCTATATGTAATATTTATCACTTTTCTGGATAACATTCAATGTTGCATATAAGTGCTAAATAAACTCTGGTGACACAAGTACAATTATAATGGTAACAAGTAAAAGCAATCATTCTCACTTTCAGTCATATTTCTTTCCTCTCTTGTCAGCAGTAAAAAATTGCAGGCGAGTTTCTTATCAGATTATAATACCCGTCTGTCCAGTTCCTGCAGTTTTATCTGAGATTCATTGGTTTTATTTGGAAAGCATGTGATATAAGCACAAAATATTATCGATTGACATTTCACCCAAAAATGTTATGATTATGATTTACTTGCCCACCTGTCATTCCAAACCTGTATGATTTACTTTCTTCTGAAATGTCTCGGTGTTTTTAACCTTCCATAAGTCAATAGGGGTCAATGTTTGTTTGGCCCCTATTTTTGTTCCACAAAGGAAAAAGAAAGAAAGAAGGAAAGAAAGAATGTACAAAATGTTAAATTTTGGTTCAAGTATCCGACACTGGATATAAGATAGAGATATAAGATACATTTTTTATGTTCTCAATAAACAATTAATAGGCATAGGACACACACACACACACACACACACACACACACACACAGAGAAACAATATATATGTTTCTATATAAATGTTTAGATGTCAACATAACTCAAAACATACTTTATCCCAGCTTAGAGGTGAACTCTACTTTTTATCATTTACTCCTACAAATGAAAAAATGAAAAGTACTTTTGACAAATATGACTTATATGATAAATGTCGCAGCAGTGGCATAATAAATGCAAAATCATATACTGCTCACATCATCGAGGCTTTATCCTTGTTATTGCTCATGAACTAAATGAATCATGCCAGAGAAATGGATCACTACAAGTCCAAGATGAATATCCCAACTACAAGAAAGAGCAACTACAAGTAAGGGTGATCCCCTCAGGACGCTTTCAAAACATTGCTCTCAAACTGTTTGATCATGAAAGACAGGAAGGAGCTGGTCACTTGGAGAGACGTTGGGACAAAGGACCCAAACAGCAGTGGAAGTTCAGAGACCCCTGTGATCAGAGGTGGACTTAACCATTAGGCAAAGGTAGGCGACCGCCTTGGGCCCCCAAAAGCCAAGGGCCCCCTAAAATGCTTTTTATATGCGAGATGCGCGTTCAGTGCGGACGCACAAGTGGTTGCTCTGGTGTTTATTACCGCGACAACCGTCTGTGCGTCCGCGTTGAACGTGCTTCTTAGCAAAAGTAGGGCGATGTAGAAAATGGGGACGGAATCCCGGAATCTATTCATAAAAACGGAATTTACTGTGCAACACGGAATGTGACGGAATGAACGGCGCAGACGCGCGTTTCGTTTGCTAGTTTGCTATTTAAGCACCTGCAACGCTTGCGGTTGTCGTCTGTAGTAGCTAAATAGTATTTTTGCCATTTAATATTCACATACACTAGTCCATATCGCGTTTTGATTGAAGTGTACTGAATTGCATTTGATTTATTCATTCAATATTTGACGAATTCCGTGACATTGCTCATTACACAGTAAACATCTGTTGTGTAGCACTTTGAATGTACAAAAATTAAAGGATTTGTTTAATTTTCATTGGAATAAAAAATAGATTAATGTTTTTGCCTTCATTTGATTACCAGAAAAATGAAAATACACAACACAGAATTTCTAAAAAATAAGTAAATAAAATAAAAATTTCATAGGGCCCTATTATTGTATACAAATTAATAAATTAAGTTGTTTTTATGAATTCAATTAATATGTTTTTGATTAAACCATTAAAATGGAATACAGAAAAATTAAAATGGAAAGCACAGAATTTGGGCCCTAAGAATGTAATTTTTGTTAAACTTTTAATAGGCCTAAATTGCTGTTAAACAAGTTTCATGATTT